TAATATAATATATATAATATATATATATATATATAATATATATAATATATATAATAAAATAATATATAATATATATATATATATATATATATAATATATATATTATATAAAATATATAATATATATATATATATAATATATATATATTTATATATATAATTATATATATATATATATAGGAAAGGTTGTCCGAAAATATATACATATATACAAATAGTTGTGACATGTGACCACATATTTCCATCACGTGTCATATCTAATTACGCATGCAAACGCTGCAAAAATTGCTTTAAGGTTATTGCTTATTTGAGATATTTTTGTTGTAAAATGCCTAAGCCGTATTCAGACGATACAAGATGGGGGATTGTGTTGATTGCGTGGCAGAAATTATTTTATAACAGGTCTTCAACCAGAGTTGCTGTCGATTTGTTTGTTTCGCCAAGGACAGTATATCGCGTTTTCAACCTGTTTATTAATAGGGACCTTAAGCATGTAGGACGGCAACACGACGACGACGCGGCTGAAATTCTCCTTTAAATAAATGCTATGGCAAAGTTGTTGTTTTATATTATTAATTGTACCAATTCAGTCAGATATAAGGCGTTAAAAACATTGTGTTTATGTTTAAGGACAATTCTATAGAGCCTAATTTGAGGGAGGGCTCGCTGGGCCTGAAATGCAATTAACCGTTCTAGGCAAGACGTAAAAAACGACGTTTTCCCGTTGTAAACAGAACGAAGACGACGTCTAAAACCCATCATGGGTCTTTGAATATTCATTTCTTTTCAATGACCCATTGTATTGATAGCCGTCGTCGTCGCGTTCGCGTTCTACATGTTTAAGGTCCCTAATACTGGTAACGTTACGTCGACCCATAAGTTTGGCAGGCCTCTTTGTAGCACAACACTTTACCAGCATGAGGAACTGGCAATATGTGAAATAATTCTCAGACATCCAGAGCTATACCTTAGGGAAATCGCCGATCAATTAGAAAACGCTGACATTCGGTGATAAACGGGCTCTCAGATAAATAAATGAAGGTATATTTTACTAATAGCCTGTTGTCACATTGTTTACGCTTTGCCAGCTATGGATTTAACGAAGCGTTCGCAGCGTTTGCATGCGTAATTAAGTGCGACACGTGATGGAAATATGTGGTCACATGTCACAACTATTTGTATATATGCATATATTTTCGGACAACCTTTCCTAGATCCACTATATATATATATATATATATATATATATATATATATATATATATATATATATATATATATATATATATATATATATATATATATATATATATATATATACATCAGGAGCCAGTCCAAAAGAAAAAACTATTTAAATATATAGCTTCAATTCACCACATCGCGGTGTTCAAAAATTAAACTTTTAATAAATCAAATCAAATGCATCTTGTAATATATACTACGTTTCGGGGCGCAGCCCCTTCGTCAGAAATGTTTCTCTACTAATCCTAAGCCTTCTTATATAGTTACAACACATTTGCATACATAAATTAACTTTAAGTTTCCTCCCTCACATTTAATCCCATAGGACAATAAGTCATTAACTTTTCTATCCAAAAACTTTCCCTCTCATTAGGTTTGTTGATATCAGTAACATCAATTATTTGAACACTTATGTCCCCTAATCCCTTATGTCCTTGTTCAAAAAAATGTGCATATAAACCCTGACCACAAATACCTCTCTGACCCCTACCAAAACGTAACAATGAGCTTTTATGATTATTAAATCTCAACCTAAATGCCGTAACCGTGTTCCCGACGTACTGTAGATGGCATGTCTTACAAGTTATCAAATAAATCACCCCTTCCGAATCAAGTTTGCCCCGGGGTTGGCCAATATTTTTATGGGATATCTTGAGGAAAAGTTTATCAGCTCTTGTGAATTAAGACCTTGGGTTTGGTGGCGATTTTTGGATGATGTTTTTATGATTTGGCTTCATTCGGAAGAGGATTTAAATATATTTTTACACCGTTTGAATACATTTCATAACAGCATCAAATTTACCTGGGAAGTAGGTTTTAGAAAGATTTCCTTTTTGGATGTGGCGGTGACTCTTACCGATGATGGTTTTGATACTGATGTGTTTAGCAAGCCTACTGATGCACATCAGTATTTGAATTATGGTTCGTGTCATCCGTCGCATGTCAAGAGGGGGATACCATATGGACAGGGACTTAGGCTTAAACGAATTTGTAGTTCGGAGGAAATTCTGGAGGGTAGACTGGATGATCTAAGGGGTTTCTTGATGGAGCGAGGCTATGATCGGGGTTTTATTGAGAAACAATTTAATAGGGTTAGGAATTATGATCATCAGATTGTGTCTGATCAGTGTAAGGGTCAAGACAATAGGGTTTGTTTGGTACTGGATTTTCATCCGGCACTTAATTGTTTAAAGGGTACCTTGCAGGAAATGCAGGGTAAAGTTGAAATGTCATCGGATTTTTTTAATGTTTTACCTGAAAAACCACTGCTAAGTTTATGTAGACCGAGGAACCTTAAAGATCATCTGATCAGGTCTAAGTTACGTAGTATTGAAACTTCGGATAGAGGCATGTCTAAGTGTGGTAAGAAGCGCTGTCAAGTGTGTAATTATATTATCTTGGGGTCTAAATTTGATAGCTTTTCAACGGGTAAAGTTTATCACATAAATCATGCCTTTGATTGTGATTCGGAAGGGGTGATTTATTTGATAACTTGTAAGACATGCCATCTACAGTACGTCGGGAACACGGTTACGGCATTTAGGTTGAGATTTAATAATCATAAAAGCTCATTGTTACGTTTTGGTAGGGGTCAGAGAGGTATTTGTGGTCAGTGTTTATATGCACATTTTTTTGAACAAGGACATAAGGGATTAGGGGACATAAGTGTTCAAATAATTGATGTTACTGATATCAACAAACCTAATGAGAGGGAAAGTTTTTGGATAGAAAAGTTAATGACTTATTGTCCTATGGGATTAAATGTGAGGGAGGAAACTTAAAGTTAATTTATGTATGCAAATGTGTTGTAACTATATAAGAAGGCTTAGGATTAGTAGAGAAACATTTCTGACGAAGGGGCTGCGCCCCGAAACGTAATATATATTACAAGATGCATTTGATTTGATTTATTAAAAGTTTAATTTTTGAACACCGCGATGTGGTGAATTGAAGCTATATATATATATATATATATATATATATATATATATATATATATATAATATATATATATATAATATATATATATATATATATAATATATATATATATATATATATATATGTATATATATATATTTATATATATATATATATATATATATATATATATATGTTATATATATATACATATATGTAACAGGGCTTTTAAGTTTTAAGCATGGTTCCTATTTGGTCGTAATTGTCGTAAGCAAGTCATTTTCGCCGAGGAGAATAGTCCGGTGGGAAATTTCTGTATTCAAATCGGTCATTGTTGACTGCATGCACCCACATAGAAAAATTCTATCACATCAGCCACCTTGACATGTTCAGACACGCCAGGCCTTAGGTTATACATATACAAGGTGTGTTAAAGAAACGGCAAATACCATACTGATTTGTAATGCTGTACAACTAATTACGCTTTCGGGATTTGAAAATATGGTTCCATGTGCAGCACTTTAAAAATAACCACACAAAGTAAATTAAAATTAGTTCGATTACCAATAGCTCAGCTAACAACTTATTTACAATGATTTCAGACGGGGTTGAGTTTGCTCGTATACAGTGTATACGTTATATACAACAAGAAATTCTGTTAGTTTTGTTCTTAATTGAAACTCTAATTAACAGTTATTCAGCTCACTCTCGTCGTATATGGCCGATAACCAACTCGGCGCAACTGTTTTATTATATACACAAACTTTGTCGCCCTTTCGGTGCATTTTGGTGTGGTATTATCAACTAGGCTTGGATTTCTATTTCACTCAACTCCCCAAATTTTTCCGCCATTTTGTTTACTTTCTCTACTAGACAGATATGAGCTAATATCTGTGTAGTAGCCAACCAATGAAATTGCAGCATATCTCATATCTGGCGCTTGTGTATATAATAATGTCTGATATCGTGCATACAAATTATGGTATTTGCAGTTTTTTGTATACACCCTTTAATTTAGCAGGGGCCTGTTGTATCAAGCTCGTTTAGCTTAAACGGTGGATAAATCAAAACTAAATAACACTCTTACATCTCTCTTGAATGAGTCAACTTGAATATCATGCACTGAATATGTAGTTGTAAGCAGTATCTTTGTACTAAGGCTAAAAACATTTTGTTTGCTTGTTGAATAGATCTAAAGGTCTGAAAAATGATCTAAAAAGTATATAAGGTCTAAAACGTTAATAGGTCTGAAAAGTATATAAGAATTTTACTCGAATTCCGATAAAATTACCAAATTTGAAAGCTTAAAAATTCGTCGTTATTTCACCTAATAATTGGCCAACTTTCGTTCGATACAGAATCATACAGTCGGGAAGTGTTGATTATGATACGAGTAAAATAAAACATAAAATAAAATATGAATTTCCGACTCAAGCTCATGGTATAATGGTATAATTATTGAATATATTATCAGAAATGAACGATTACTAAAAGACACTTGTTTCGACAAACAAATACAATGGCAATGTTTGTTTCAAAAGCTGGCATCTGTGTAACGCATGTATGACTTTAGTGACATGCGCCGGTGTAAAATACCGGTTGAGTAAAAACGCCGATTGAATAAACCCTTTGACTTACATTTTGGAGGGTTTCAGAATACACGGACTGAAATTTAACTTTTATACAATTGAGCCATGGTCCTTTGTGTTTCACAACGCGAACTTTGGAATTCTGTGCCGCTAAGTTTTATCTTTAGAATGCTATTGAAACATCCAGCAGCGCAATTAAATTTTTCAAATACCGTGTGAATACGTATACGATATTATAACAAACCACAATTCTAATACTTATTTGGAGAAACTGTATATATATAAAAGCTGGTACTAAATGAAAAATTCAACTGATACAGCGGTCTGTTATGTCTCAGTGTAAGTACCAACAGCATTCTCATAATACCACTTCTAAGGATTAAAAAGCACCACATTTACAATCAATGTTTATAGTTGCACTTGACATGGAATTTTATATCAGCCATAATAATAAATTTCGATTCAGATAAACATTCTTAATCTTTCCCAGAGAAAAGCGAATAAGTCAAAAGTGAAATATACGGGCAGAGTTGCCAAAATATGTTTAAACAATTGTACAAAACCTTGTTCACACGAAGTGTTGCATGTTTAAGAGAGCTTTTACCAAGAGAAACTTAATTGTTTTTCTTGCAATGAAAGGCTTGAGTGGTCGTATGCAAATTAACTTCTTATAGAAGTGGTGACATATAAACGCTTAAATTTCACGAACATAATCTTTTTAATCTTATCTTTAAGGGTTAGTGGTTAGGTGAGGGTTAAGGTCAGGTTTATGATTAAAATTAAGATTATTTTCGTGGATTCTAGACATGGAATTTTTACCCAGTTACGACCAGATATATATGAAAGTTATGTTCGAGTGGCAAAAGCCTTTAGAACATAAAAATATACATTTCTCCGGCTTGTTAAAAGAATCCTTTGAAGCCTCAGTATCCGAAATTGTGTTCTCGCTCCGCATTTTCCCGTCTGAATAATTAACATCGTGTGAACTTGTCTCTTGACATTGATTGCAAAGTTTTCCCGCCAATTTTCGTTACGATGCACCAAAGTCACGACGGTTTCGTTATCATTAAAACATCACTATCACTATAATAAACGCACTTAAAGCGGCAAATAAAACGCCACCGCCAGTAAATACTTGAAAATATATAGCCCTGCATGCATGCATGGGAAGCTGGTAAATTTTGTATACTATTGTGTGACATACTAACATAGGGTCATTTATGCGAGTGAAAATAAGCCACGGCCTATAAATAAGCCGGGGCTTAAATAAGTCGTGAAGGGCGCGTATAAATAGTCATTTTGTTCGCAAGCCGCGGCTAAAATAAGCCCAGGGTTGAAGCCTAGGCTTAAATAAGCTGAGGCTAATCGCAAATAGACCGTTTATACGAGTTGACTAATTTAGTTACAACTGCTTACGGCTTTATTTTCCGTTAAGCTTCCTGGAAACCTTTCGAAAGTAGAAACATATAAAGTAGTTGCGAACCACGGCAATTCACGGCTTAGTCATGCATAGCTAATTGTATTCCTTATTCATTTGATCAAAAAGGAAATTGGTTAAAGTATTACAATGGCTGGAGGTGATCTTAACGCCGTATGCTGTCCAATTTATCGCGAAACAAACGACCCGATCAAAAGACGAACCGGGGGCGAAAAATATCTCGGATCCAAGGCTCAGTTTTGCGCCGCATTCTACCATGTCCATGAATGGGGAGAGCGAAAGCACTCTTGTCTTCACAAAAGAAAGTGCATTATCGCAAAGAGAGCAAGAAAGGGCAGAAATTACGATTGGAGTTTTCAACCCAAACACGTTGTTGCCGTTGTTAAATTTGAAGACAGCAAAGAGAGTACTCTCTATGAAGCAAGGTATACCAATTGTGATCCGAAAAAAATGCACGCTGAGGATTTCTTTAAAAAGGATGTAACAGAAGGAGATTTAAAGAAAGTAATAACAGATAACGAAGGTGGGAAAATCACCATGTACCTGACGCTTCAGCCTTGTAACAGGTCCGTTAGTCTCGCGGGAACCGACAATACTCGCGCGGATAAAACCTGTTGTGATACACTTCTGAAGATCTACATCGAAAATCTGCTCGGCAGGAATATTTGCTTATGTATTAAGGTTACTCACTTGTATCGATTAGGTCTTGAACATGGAACGGCAAGGAATGAAATTGAAAAAAGCAGAGACGAACAATTGAGACAGCGGGCTGCAGCAGGGATCACAGCGTTGATGCTGACTGGGGTGGAAGTCGAGAGTATGACAGAGAAGGACTGGGAATATCTTTCTGGTATGGTGATGTTCCATGGTGATGTTCTCACAAACAATAATGTCCCAGAATATGCTCTCAGCCCACGAAGAGAATTAGATGGTGACATTGAGAATACTCTTACGCAAATACGTGAAGGTACAAGCTGGCTGAAGCCTTCTTTAACATCATTGTCCTCATGGACACTCGCAATCCATTCGAGAATGAAATCTTCAGAATAAAAAGAGGAGATTATGTTTTAAACTATAATCGGCATATTTGTTTACATTCTTTATGCAAAGCCAGTCAGAATGCCTTAATTTTAAAAATTAACTTCATGTCAAATGGTATAAAACATAGACAATATATAGACAATAAAGAAGTATAATAAACGAGCAATATTACAAATGGTATATAATGTACCTTTTTATCGGAAGTAGTCAAAATTCATAGACATCACTCATTATAATAAACGCAGTTAAAGCGGGAAATAAGACGGCACCGCCAGTAAATACTTGAAAATATATAGCCCTGCATGCATGCATGGGAAGCTGGTAAATTTTGTATACTATTGTGTGACATACTAACATAGGGTCATTTATGCGAGTGAAAATAAGCCACGGCCTATAAATAAGCCGGGGCTTAAATAAGTCGTGAAGGGCGCGTATAAATAGTCATTTTGTTCGCAAGCCGCGGCTAAAATAAGCCCAGGGTTGAAGCCTAGGCTTAAATAAGCTGAGGCTAATCGCAAATAGACCGTTTATACGAGTTGACTAATTTAGTTACAACTGCTTACGGCTTTATTTTCCGTTAAGCTTCCTGGAAACCTTTCGAAAGTAGAAACATATAAAGTAGTTGCGAACCACGGCAATTCACGGCTTAGTCATGCATAGCTAATTGTATTCCTTATTCATTTGATCAAAAAGGAAATTGGTTAAAGTATTACAATGGCTGGAGGTGATCTTAACGCCGTATGCTGTCCAATTTATCGCGAAACAAACGACCCGATCAAAAGACGAACCGGGGGCGAAAAATATCTCGGATCCAAGGCTCAGTTTTGCGCCGCATTCTACCATGTCCATGAATGGGGAGAGCGAAAGCACTCTTGTCTTCACAAAAGAAAGTGCATTATCGCAAAGAGAGCAAGAAAGGGCAGAAATTACGATTGGAGTTTTCAACCCAAACACGTTGTTGCCGTTGTTAAATTTGAAGAAAGCAAAGAGAGTACTCTCTATGAAGCAAGGTATACCAATTGTGATCCGAAAAAAATGCACGCTGAGGATTTCTTTAAAAAGGATGTAACAGAAGGAGATTTAAAGAAAGTAATAACAGATAACGAAGGTGGGAGGATCACCATGTACCTGACGCTTCAGCCTTGTAACAGGTCCGTCAGTCTCGCGGGAACCGACAATATTCGCTTGGATAAAAGCTGCTGTGATACACTTCTGAAGATCTACATCGAAAATCTGCTCGGCAGGAATATTTGCCTATGTATTAAGGTTACTCACTTGTATCGATTAGGTCTTGAACATGGAACGGCAAGGAATGACAGTGAAAAAAGCAGAGACGAACAATTGAGACAGCGGGCTGCAGCAGGGATCACAACGTTGATGCTGATTGGGGTGGAAGTCGAGAGTATGACAGAAAAGGACTGGGAATATCTTTCTGGTATGGTGATGTTCCATGGTGATGTTCTCACAAACAATGTCCCAGAATATGCTCTCAGCCCACGAAGAGAATTAGATGGGGACATTGAGAATACTCTTACGCAAATACGTGAAGGTACAAGCTGGCTGAAGCCTTCTTTAACATCATTGTCCTCATGGACACTGGCTATCCATTCGAGAATGAAATCTTTAGAACAAGAAGAGGGACTATAATCGGCATATTTGTTTACATTCTTTATGCAAAGCCAGTCAGAATGCCTTAATTTTTAAAATTAACTTCATGTCAAATGGTATAATACATAGACAATATTTAGACAATAAAGGAGTATAATAAACGAGCAATATTACAAATGGTATATAATGTACCTTTTTATCGGAAGTAGTCAAAATTCATGCATTCTGATTGGGTTACCGAGAATATAAACAAACTGGCTGATTGGTCTAAAACAAAATTCCCCTCATGTTGCTCGGAAAGCATGATTCGTCAAGCGTATAGAAATTCATACTGGGTATAATCTTGCCACTGTTTGTTCGTAAACATTTTCACAACGAATATGGCAATAGATCACGAAATAATTTGAGTATTTAATGCTTTATTTTAAAACAAACAATCGCCTAAACACAAATAAAAACGATCAAAAAATTTAATGTTTTTTACAAAGCCACGAAAATACAGTTTGTTTCAAAACTTGTTATCCAAGAAATGTATAATCCGATTGGCCATGTGTTAGAGAGAGCTGTAATGTACATATAATATCGCTTTCGGAAAAAATATTTCTGTAAGCATCGACAATGGATGCATTTAATGTTTAAAAACAGGAACACTAATTCGTGCAACGATCAATCTTAATAAACAGGGACGCCGGAACGATGCGAGGGCAAGGGCGGCTGATTTTTGGCGAAAGGGCACTCCTGTAGCGGCGCATTAATAAAGAATGTTTGAAAAACATCGTCAGTTGAACTTCGTATCGTCGTGATTTCTCTTTCCAAGATAATTTCTGTGTCGAGACGATTGTGTTATTCTTGATTGTGTTATTCTACTTCGGATATGGAATGTAGCTAATTAATCTTTTAAAATGAAAGGGCATTTTTGCCCCCCTTGCCCCTGCTGGTAAAAGGGCAAGGAGGCAGTTGCCCCTGCTGCCCCCTTGTTCCAGCGTCGCTGTGAATAGACCTTTTTCATAGTGACGTCAACGCGGAAAGTCTGATGTTACACGAAGTTTGATTGGCTTGATAGTTTTGTGGAGGTCTATTGCATGGATCGAATATTTTTGAGACATCAAGCAGCGTAATTAATTGAAAAATAATATTTGAAATAACACGTCAGGTAGTTTCATAATCTCTATCGTATATACTTTTATATAATATACGGCAATTCGTAAAGCTTATATCTAAAGAAACTTGGCTGGTTTGATAAGGATATAGCAGCTAAGCTTCAATATCGGTAAGTACTACTAACACACAAGTATATATGAGATAGATCTGTTTTGTGCTGAATGAAATAATAAACTGCTATAATTTGTTGTAAAACAATTGGCTTAGTGACAATTTAGCCGTCCTTTATAAACTTGAAACTAACATAAACGATGAAAAGTTTGGACTTTGACAATATTTTCGATAGCCTATACTTATTGTCTTATCAATCTGTGACCAACAAAACACGAAGACTTAGTTTATAGTCGTGCTACATTCTGAGAAATATTTTGACCATGAGGAAGTGCGTTTAGATTAGCAGAACGAATTCGCTTTTCCTAAAATTGCACCAAGGTAAGCCATAGAAAATATATTAACGCGTGGAGTTAACGAATGTTTGTGTAGAATATAAATCGCATAAAATGATTTCATGAAATGCCGCTTGTTAATGTTCGAGATAAATGTTTAATGTCAACTTGTTTCAACATGTTTCAACTTGCTATTTACGGAAAGCATCCGGCAGTGACTTTATGCAAATTGAATAAATGCAAAACTTAGTGACTTATAATTATATACTTCAATCATGTTTAAAACAAGTGCATTTCTTTCGTCTATTGATGCAACACTCCAACTATCCTACTCCTAGCATACAAAATCCCGATATTCCAAACCCTAAATCAAACAGAACATCCTCAAACTGGCTGTGAGTTTTGATCGAGGATACTAAAGGCTGGTTTCCATGTGCAGTCAAGAAAATTATCCTCCAGACCATACCAGACAAAGGTTTCTTTTAAATTATCCGCGGAATAATTTTTCAGTCTTAAGTCGATGGTCGAGTCGAGGTTCAGGACGATATAGTAAAGTCAATAGACGACTTTCGCTTTCTTGTCTGGGAGCAAGGCCGAAATAAAGTACTACAGAATAGACCCAACCATAAGATCAGCGCAAGTACTCCGTATACAAAATTTACCTACTTTTCATGGCTGGCTATATATAATATATCGCAGAAGCGAAACTTTACAATTCTACTAATTTTAGTATGCTCTTTTCGTAAATGTCCTTTTTTATCGCCAAGTCTAATAAAGTGAAAGTCGTCCAATACACTCCCGAAATACACAAAGAACAAAATAATTTTACCCAATGTCGATATGTGATAAAACTTTCCTAATCATGTTTTGAATAGTATACTTTAAATATTCGTTGCTATATGGCCTTTATCACGCACACGTTTTAATCTTTTTAACCTGTTATAGCTACCACCTGCATGCCGTTCATTGAACAAATTCAAATTAGCTTGAGTCGTATCCTTATAACAATAGATGAACTTTTAAAGTAACACGTCAGGTAATTTCATAAGCCCTATCGTATATATAATATAGCTACAGCAATTCTTAAAGCTGATATCTACAGAAACTTGGCTCGTTTAAAAAGGATAAAAACAACAGCTTTAATATCGGTAGGTATACTAAATACATATATATGAGATATATACTATATCGAACTGCTATAATTTGTTGTGAGACAGGCGCCGCTGTTCATGACATTTAGCCGTCCTTTATATACACTTGAAACTAACTAATACACTGTAAAAACTGATAGGTTAAAATAACAAAAAAATAGGTTGTTTAGATGAATCTCTTTCGATGAAAGGTTTGGGCTTTATAGACAATATTTCGACAGTCTATATTGCTTAATCAATCTGATAATAACAAAACACGAAGGCTTCTAGTTTATAGTCGTGTTACATTCTGAGAAATCCTGCGCGTTACATCCTGAGTTTAGATTGGCAGAACAAAATTAGGGCAATAAGCCATATAAAATATACTAACGCAGAGTTTACAATACGCGTATATGTGTAGAATATAAATCGCAGAGAACATGAATATAAATGTCATGAAATAGCGCTTGTTTCTGATAAATATTTAATTTCAGTTTGCTTCAAAATTTGCTATTTACAGAAAACATATATATAGCCCGTTTACAAAAACCTTGTCGCAGCATAGATAGATAGTTTTCAGTTCATTACCATATGTAATGTATGGTTGAAGATCATTTCTCATGAACATATATATATATATATATATATATATATATATATATATATATATATATATATATAATATATAATATATATATATATATATATATATATATATATATATATACACCCATTTGCAAAAACGTAGATAGATAGATAGATAGATACTCGAAGAAAAATTAGAATTGCATATGATTACATTTGCACGGGAAGTCAATCATATTACACAACATATGCAATTCTAATTAGATTTAGAGTATCTATCTATATATCTATCTGCGACCAACGTTTTTGCAAACGGGTGTGTATATATATATATATATATATATATATATATATATATATATATATATATATATCTTAAGTACGTCTATTATGCAAGTGGTTCATTAACTGGAGTGAAATTTCCCAGCCTCATACACGCACGTGAACATATGTCGATTGTAAACTAAAATTTAAATTTCGCGCTCTGCAGCATGAATTTTAGTTGCAAAGCACTGGCGGCAATTCTTGCTGTATACGAGAAGAAACTAATTTGCATTTTATTAATATTGACTAAGAAAATAGAGCAGCAAGTATTACAATGACCCAAGCCCAAGTTGGATGCAACGGTAAGTGCTGTCCAATTTATCGTGGTGGTCAATTAATTGGACATATTAAAAAACGTGAAGAGCAACAAGAAATCCTTGGGACACAGGGTCAGTTTTGCGCTGCATTCTATCATGTTCATGAATGGGAAAATCATCATTATCATTGTCTTGACAACGCAAATTGTGAAATAGGAATTAGAGGAAACTTTCAAAATCAAAATAACGTTCAACCCAAACAAGTCATTGCTGTTGTTAGATGCGAAGATGCCCAAGGGCATACTCTGTATGAAGCAAGATACAGCAACTGCCGCGTGCCTGCAGCAATAATGCATGCGGAGGATTTCTTTAGGAATGACGTGATAAATGGAGAGTTGGCCAATATATTACAAGAACAAAACGGTGGGAAAATCACCATGTACCAGACGTATCAACCTTGCAACAAATCCGTTGGAACAGCTGCCACTCCAGCGGACAAAACCTGTTGTGTAACACTCACGAATATCTTCAATGATATTCTGAGTCCAAGAAATATAAGTTTGTGCATTAAAGTTACCCACTTGTATCGAGTAAGCTTTCAACGAGAAATAGCGGATAATGAAATTCTCCGACAGCGTGCTATACAAGGAGTACAAGATTTAAAGCAGATAAATAACGTGAGGGTCAAGCACATGACAAAGAAAGATTGGAACTATCTCTCCGGATTGACCGCTGCTGACGTCACACAAGGTAATAAACAGCGCAAAAATTTAGACAAATCTATCCAGGGTATTCTTACACAAATACAACCAACTCAGCAGCCTCTATCCGTAAACACCTAAAATTCAAGGACGGTTTCCAGGCCAATACATAACTTTTCAAATACATTTCTATTTAGTATCTCGTATAAACTATGCAAATCAGGTATTTTAGGTAGATATTAACTCGAATAGTATCCATATTTTAGATGGTAAAATTAATTATTGAAAATTGTTGCTACTGATTGGTCAAAAGACCTATTACGCGGGTAATCACCTAAGAAAATTTTTCAAGATGGCGGCGAGTTGTTTTTGTCTAAGTGACAGATGAAGAAACATGTAATTTTTAAAAAAACGCTGTACCTAAAAGCATATAAAAAGCGTACAAGATTTTCCCTAAAATTATTTCGAGGTAAAAACCATGTTGCAAAACGCTACTCTACTTTATTTCGCTTGACTTCGTCTCGTTATTTGATATTCACCTCGCCTTCGGTAAATATTAGCTAATTTTGTTAAGTAATTTCTCCCTGATTCTTAACATTCTTGAGGACAGATGGGAAATTGAATTTGAAATAAGTAAGTAAATAATAATGTTGATGATATAAATAATACCGTAAACAGCACTAAATATTGTAAACAAAAACAATGTAAGATGAAAGATTTCTTTGAGAATGAAATAAAGTCGAAATATCACCGTAATTGTTGTCTTGTTTTACACGCATCTTGTATTTACAAGATGTTGTTTTTTAGAAGATGTTTCGTCCTATATTGCATATTGTACAGAACATAGATATTCGCCTTGCATATTGTACAGAACGTAGATTTCGAGAAGAAAACTACCTTTAGCATACTTCCGGTAAATTATTCCGGTAAAAGGCCCGTTATACTATTCGTACTATATGACAAGTCAAATCTGGTTAACACCAGATAATATCTACGACGGCAGATTTGCAAGATCGCCACTAACGCGGCTGCAATAGCCTTGAACATGCAGCTATCTTCTCGATTTTTTCTGCCAAGTACCATAGTTTTGTCATCATTTCGTTTATCATGCGCCCGCGTTACCCCGAGACAGAGGCAGTATCCTCGCGAGCATGCCCAGCAACATGTGATATGAACTGCATACGATCTTGTAGTACTGGTCTCAGACTGGCTATGTAGTGTTGAATATCCTGTTTTATAGAATCCCCAACAAACATGTACTTAATATGATAACTTCAAATAATTAAAGAAAATATTTTTGAGCCGTTCTGGAATGTCTTAACAGTATTGCCGCGTTTTCGACCCAAAGAAACAAATTGTTCATATGCATGGTAGAAATGACTACATTATAAGGGTGGAATGAATCCGTGTTGAAAAAATTCAGAACATTGTATACATGGGTATAAATACTGCCTCTATGGGTCTAAAAATGTTCATATATATGGGTAAAATGATGGTGATAGAAGTGTGCTTATACGTATAGATCAAGTGCCCTCATATGAATAAAATGCCCACATGCGTGAAATGCCCTTATAGGTTGAATATCCTACAGGTTAAACGCTTATATAAACACCCTAATAGGTAAAATGCCTATACGAGTAAAATATTCACACGGGTAAATTACCCTTATGAATAAAATGCCCCATAGGTTAAACCCCTATATATAGATAAAATACCCATAGATAAAATGCCCATATGAGTAAATCGCCGGTATAGGTAAGACGTCCTTAGAGCTAAATTTCCCTTATAGGTAACGCCTATATAGGTAAAATACCCTTATAGGTAAAATACCCGTACGGGGAAAAAACCCTTTTAGGGAAAATGCCCATATAGGTAAAATGTCCTCATACGTGGAACACCTATATAGGTACAATACCCTATGAGTAAAATGCCTCTGAGTAAAAATGCCAATACAGGCAAAATTCCCTCATAGGTAAAATGGTAGTATTATATTATCCATATAGGCAAAATTCCCATGTAGGGAAAATGTCCATATGGGTGAAATGTCCATGGGGACAAAAGGTCCTCACGGATAAAATTTTGACACGAATCGATATCTCTACGGTGATTTCCATAGAAAAATCGTTGTTCTTCATAACATACCGCTCACAAAAGGATAAAAAAGTCGCATATGGTGTCGATGTGATAAAGATGAACACATTTCTTGTCGACCACATCCAAGATGGCGTACAGCTCTTTAGCAATCTAGGATGTGATATGAGTAAAATAACTCTTTATGATCTCAAACAACTAAGTGTTTTGCCAGATTCAACTCTCAGGATTAGGGGCTGATTACATGAAGTATTTTCAATCCCGTGGTTAAATTCAGCCCTGTTGAAACTAAAATTTCATGCAACTTGCAATAGTTTTTTACGTTCTTCGTTGTAGAAGCACCCCCCCCCCCCAAAACTGACCATAGCAATTGCTTTGACTTACCTCGAGCAAACATCTTGGTTTCTCCGTGTAGAAACGATACAAAAATGGTCCAAGCAGTCGACAAACGAACAGAAACTGTGCTTCATTGTGAATTAAAGGCTTGAAATTTTCCTTCAACAATCTGTTAATAATGCAAGATATTTTCAATGTATGCCAAACAATATATCCACCGCGAAACCAACAAACATTTTAATTTAAAAAGCAAAGTTTAGACAAAATTTACCAAATGAAAACTTCCTTTGTGAAGAGATATTAATAGCTTATATACGAAAAAGTAGTGACAAGGTGAAATTGGTTTGATATTTCATAAAAACGTCATGTTTCGAGTTAAAAAGAATATAAAAGAGCAGTCATTTAGCTTTCCAATGGTACTTTGCGTATTTCATTACAGAACGAAACGATCAAATACTTTTAAAATAAAAATTATTGCTCAAAATTGGACAACGGACAAATTTAGGGTCATTGAAAAAAACACGTCATTCAGCTTTCGTACAGCCATCCCCGTAGACTATTTGTGTACCTTGGGATAAGCGAAAGATGGCCCAAACTAGAATGATACCAGACCGCATTTGTAAAAGCCACAACCAGGTCTGGCAATATCAAGGCGCAGGCATCCGCGTTGGACTGGAAACTATAGAACGAATATGGAAACGACGATGGCGCCATCGTAGCATCGGGCGAAAAACTGGCTGTAACTGGAGTGACATCTTTTACTGCAAGATCAGCGGTGAGAACTTCCGAAATAAGTTGCGGTAAAACCTTGCCGTAGGATTCCTGGAAATAAATAAGAATTGCTGTTATTTGCGGGAGAACACCTGCACGTTATTTATACTGGATAGTTCTATCAGCCCTAAGGATAATTTTTTAGTGATCCAGTGTTACTACAGGAGGAAACCTAAAGTAAACTAACTATATTTACACTGGATAGCTCTATCAGTTCTAAACTGTTCTTCCTAAAGACCCAGTAAGGATAATCTCTTATTGATCCAGTGTTACTGCAGGAGGAAACCTAAACTAATATACTGGATAGCTCTATGAACGGTTCTTCCTAGAGGTCCAGTAAGGATCATGTCTTATGTATTTATCATGTGGAGGAAACCTAACAGAACTAGCTCTTACTAAAGTTCTGGAAAAATCTATCAGTTTTGAATAGTTCTATCTGTTCTTTAATCTTAAGTGGTGATTTTTAATGAATAACAAACTTACAGGCAGAGAAGAAATGATCAAAGCGACGGCATTTATCCAAGTCTTAGTATTATTCAAAATTTCAACGCCTCGATTTGTCTCGCCACTGAAATGATAGAAAGGCAAATAAATTGCGGCAGCAACAAACCTCAAAACCAACACTAAACACCAACAGTAAATGCTCAGTGATGTATAGTATATGGGCCAACCTATATGCGTTTAAGCATATATTACAATATCACTACTCCCTAAAATCCCTAATATCACTACTCTCTAATATCCCCAGTATAATTACTCCCTAATATCCATAATATCGTTACTTACCATTTATACAACACAGAGAACCGCGCATTACCAACGTCCTTGTCGTTGACAGGAAGTGACATCAACTCGACGCATGTGGCATAGAGCGCATGCGCAGACGGACTAGGGAATTCGTGGAAACGCCAGTCGAATTCAGGAAACGGCGAATTACCGGAAATAGATGCACAATGTTAAGGAACTAAGTTTGAAAAGCAAGATAATTGCTCAAATACCAGCTCGCAGACATGCGTGCTACTATCGGCTAATTGCTCGCTAAAACGAAATGCTATTGGTTGATTCAAAAGCACTGAAACTCGAGCAATTCCCAACGACTGATTTAACGAATTTCAGGCAAGAAATGCAATCGAACCTTTACCATTGCTCCTCAAATTCATCAATAACTTACGGGTTTAAAACGGGATCAATCTTAGGGCGCTTTCCTTTAGGCGGCCAAAATGGTCAGACCGTCATATTTTGAATGAAATAGAATATTTCGTTGCGGTGAAATTGCATTTCCCGTGCTTAGCAGATGTAAATAACGATATACTGATGCAGAGTTTTTGAAACACACTAAAGTATCTGTAATCTGTCTGTACTGAAATAGAACCCGTTTTTGGTCTGGCCGTTTTTACCGTATAATGGAAAGCGCCTTTAGTTTGGTAATAACGGTGCTTTTTAAAGAAGTACTTTTTAAATAAAGCAAATTGGGTTTACAATTCGGGTGTATTGCGGAATCAAATAACTTTAGCGTTTTCGGATCGTTTTTGTGTTTACGTGTGGATGCGGTTAATATTTTAACAGAGAATATTTTTGCGTTTTCAAATTCTTTCGATACCGTGTAGAGGGGGCCTTTGAAAAGTACAAGTCGTACCTTAAATAAAAATTTGCTGCTATGTTTCGGAATGAAATCAGAAGGTTCTATATTAAAGGATACTATCAACAAGCCTTCCAACAATTGCACAGTAATATTCAAGATTTGGTTTCAATTCAACGTCTGCCTTCAAATATTCCAAGAACACGTTTGACAAACACCTTGAGGATAATAAAAGATTTACGTTGGTCTCAAATTAAAAAAATATCAAGAATTTGGTGCTTGGTATTTTGCTTGGTAAATTCAAAATCGCAAACGCACGCGCAAGTCATCTCAACGCGTCAGCAAACCGTTAGTTATAAAATCATAGTATCCATTCGCCTGAAGATCTAAATAAGCCGGGGCTTAAAAAAGTCGTGAAAGGCTCGTATAAACGGTCATTTTGTTCGCAAAACGCGGCTAAAATAAGCCCAGGATTGAAGCCTAGGCTTAAATAAGCCGCGGCTAATTGCAAATAGGCCGTTTATACGAACGAGTTGACTAATTTAGTTACAACTTCTTACGGCTTTATTTTCCGTTAAGCTCCCTGGAAACATTTCGAAAGTAGAAACATAGAAAGTAGTTGCGAACCACGGAAATTCACGCCTTAATCATAGCTAATTGTATTCCTTATTAATTTGATCAAAAAAGAAATTGGTTAAAGTATTACAATGGCTGGAGGTGATCTTAACGCCGTATGCTGTCCAATTTATCGCGAAACAAACGACCCGATCAAAAGACGAACCGGGGGCGAAAAATATCTCGAATCCAAGGCTCAGTTTTGCGCCGCATTCTACCATGTCCATGAATGGGGAGAGCGAAAGCACTCTTGTCTTGACAAAAGAAGGTGCATTATCGCAAAGAGAGCAAAAAAGGACAGAAATTACGATTGGAGTTTTCAACCCAAACACGTTGTTGCCGTTGTTAAATTTGAAGACAGCAAAGAGAGTACTCTCTATGAAGCAAGGTATACCAATTGTGATCCGAAAAAAATGCACGCTGAGGATTTCTTTAAAAAGGATGTAACAGAAGGAAATTTAAAGAAAGTAATAACAGATAACGAAGGTGGGAGGATCACCATGTACCTGACGCTTCAGCCTTGTAACAGGTCCGTCAGTCTCGCGGGAACCGACAATACTCGCGCGGATAAAAGCTGTTGTGATACACTTCTTAAGATCTACATCGAAAATCTGCTCGGCGGGAATATTCGCTTATGTATTAAGGTTACTCACTTGTATCGAATAGGTCTTGAACATGCAAGGGTGCTACGGCAAGGAATGAAAGTGAAAAAAGCAGAGACGAACAGTTGAGACAGCGGGATGTGGCAGGAATCACAGCGTTGATGCTGACTGGGGTGGAAGTCGAGAGTATGACAGAGAAGGACTGGGGATATCTTTCTGGTATGGTGATGTTCCATGGTGATGTTCTCACAAACAATAATGTCCCAGAATATGCTCTCAGCCCACGAAGAGAATTCGATGGTGACATTGAGAATACTCTTACGCAAATACGTGAAGGTACAAGCTGGCTGAAGCCTTCTTTAACATCATTGTCCTCATGGACACTGGCAATCCATTCGAGAATGAAATCTTCAGAATAAAAAGAGGAGATTATGTTTTAAACTAAAATCGGCATATTTGTTTACATTTTTTATGTAAAGCCAGTCAGAATGCCTTAATTTTAAAAATTAACTTCATGTCAAATGGTATAAAACATAGACAATATATAGACAATAAAGAAGTATAAACGAGCAATATTACAAATGGTATATAATGTACCTTTTTACCGGAAGTAGTCAAAATTCATGCATTCTGATTGGGTTACCGAGAATATAAACAAACTGGCTGATTGGTCTAAAACAAAATTCCCCTCATGTTGCTCGGAAAGCATGATTCGTCAAGCGTATAGAAATTCATACTGGATATAATCTTGCCACTGTTTGTTCGTAAACATTTTCACAACGAATATGGCAATAGATCACGAAATAATTTGAGTATTTAATGCTTTATTTTAAAACAAACAATCGCCTAAACACAAATAAAAACGATCAAAAAATTTAATGTTTTTCACAAAGCCACGAAAATACAGTTTGTTTCAAAACTTGTTATCCAAGAAATGTATAATCCGATTGGCCATGTGTTAGAGAGAGCTGTAATGTACATTTAATATCGCTTTCGGAAAAATATTTCTATACGCATCGACAATGGATGCATTTAATGTTTAAAAACAGGAACACTAGCTCGTGCAACGATCAATCTTAATAAACAGGGACGCCGGAACGATGCAAGGGCAAGGGGGGCTGATTTTTGGCGAAAGGGCACTCCTGTAGCGGCGCATTAATAAAGAATGTTTGAAAAACATCGTCAGTTGAACTTCGTATCGTCGTGATTTCTCTTTCCAAGATAATTTCTGTGTCGAGACGATTGTGTTATTCTTGATTGTGTTATTCTACTTCGGATATGGAATTTAGCTAATTAATCTTTTAAAATGAAAGGGCATTTTTGCCCCCCTTGCCCCTGCTGGTAAAAAGGCAAGAGGGCAGTTGCCCCTGCTGCCCCCTTGTTCTGACGTCAACACGGAAAGTATGATGTTACACGAAGTTTGATTGGCTTGATAGTTTTGTAGAGGTCTATTGCATGGATCGATTATTTTTAAGACATCAAGCAGCGTAATTAATTGAAAAATAATATTTGAAATAACACGTCAGGTAGTTTCATAATCTCTATCGTATACTTTTATATAATATACGGCAATTCGTAAAGCTTATATCTAAAGAAACTTGGCTGGTTTGATAAGGATATAGCATGCAGCTAAGCTTCAATATCGGTAAGTACTAAAAACACACAAGTATATATGAGATAGATCTGTTTTGTGCTGAATGAAATAATAAACTGCTATAATTTGTTGTAAAACAATTGGCTTAGTGATAATTTAGCCTACCTTTATAAACTTGAAACTAACATAAACGATGAAAAGTTTGGACTTTGACAATATTTTCGATAGCCTATACTTATTGTCTTATCAATCTGTGACCAACAAAACACGAAGACTTAGTTTATAGTCGTGCTACATTCTGAGAAATATTTTGACCATGAGGAAGTGCGTTTAGATTAGCAGAACGAATTCGCTTTTCCTAAAATTGCACCAAGGTAAGCCATAGAAAATATATTAACGCGTGGAGTTAACGAATGTTTGTGTAGAATATAAATCGCATAAAATGATTTCATGAAATGCCGCTTGTTAATGTTCGAGATAAATGTTTAATGTCAACTTGTTTCAACATATTTCAACTTGCTATTCACGGAAAGCATCCGGCAGTGACTTTATGCAAATTGAATAAATGCAAAACTTAGTGACTTATAATTATATACTTCAATCATGTTTAAAACAATTGCATTTCTTTCGTCTATATTGTTGCAAAATCCGACTATCCTACTCCTAGCTAACAAAATCCCGATATTGCAAACCCTAAATCAAACAGAACGTCCTCAAACTGGCTGTGAGTTTTGATCGAGGATACAAAAGGCTGGTTTCCATGTGCAGTCAAGAAAATTATCCTCCAGACCATATCAGACAAAGGTTTCTTTTAAATTATCCGCGGAATAATTTTTCAGTCTTAAGTCGATGGTCGAGTCGAGGTTCAGGACGATATAGTAAAGTCAATAGACTACTTTCGCTTTTTTGTCTGGGAGCAGGGCCGAAATAAATTACTACAGAATAGACCCAACCATAAGATCAGCGCAAGTACTCCGTATACAAAATTTACCTACTTTACATGGCTGGCTATATATAATATATCGCAGAAGCGAAACTTTACAATTTTACTAATTTTAGTATCTAGAATGATGCTCTTTTCGTAAATGTCCTTTTTTATCGCCAAGTGTAATAAAGTGAAAGTCGTCCAATACACTCCGGAAATAGACAAAGAACAAAATAATTTTACCCAATGTCGATATGGGATGAAACTTTCCTAATCATGTTTTGAATAGTATACTTTAAATATTCGTTGCTATATGGCCTTTATCACGCACACGTTTTAATCTTTTTAACCTGTTATAGCTACCACCTGCCGTTCATTGAACAAATTCAAATTAGCTTGAGTCGTATCCTTATAACAATAGATGAACTTTTAAAGTAACATGTCATGTAATTTCATAAGCCCTATCGTATATATAATATAGCTAC